CGACAGGGAGCCTCCCGTAGCACTGAGGCGGCTGAGCAGAGGGACCTTGATGCTTCTATGTTGCACGCACAACTAGAAAAAGTCAGCCATACATCAGACAGAATGAATGAAAAGAAACTATAGACTGTCTCACCTAAACAGACCTCTTTTAACTTAGAGTGAAACTATAAAAAAGAATTTACCAAAAGAGAGGGAGATACCTAAAGCAATTAAATAAATGAATCAACCTGTGTCTTTTAGGTGTCAACCCAATGCTTAGAGGTATTATATTAACAATGGCTGTTCTTACTTCATTTGGAACTGAACTGGCCAAGGACAGATACAAATTGAGAGCTTCTCTGCTCTGTCTGTGTGTGCCTACACACGTGTGCGGGGAACACGAAGCACTTTGTGCATCCGTGTGACACTGCTCTGACTCTCAGGAAAGATCCATGAACTCACATGCTTTTCAGGTTCATGCGACCTGAGATTAATCCTTAGGAAATAAAGCTAGCTTCAGTCTGCTGGTTCAAGTAAAAGACACATGTCTCTCTAGGCCTGAATTTTACCAAAATGAGTCCATGTTAACAACTGACTTTGGTGTCTATGAAATATGCTTCTCAAGGTCAAGTGATAAAACAACAACGAATCGCCAGACCATGGGGAACCCAGGCGCCGCTGGTGCTGCCCGCTGCCGGCTCCCTCCTCCGATGTCGCATTCCCCTCGCATCTGCGGGACGTGGAGCAGGAAGGACGATGGCGGACGCTCCTCTGAGGACACCCGCACACTGCCAGGTGTGACAGAGGCCCTTCCAGAAAATGCCACGTGGGTAGCTGCCTCGGCTCAGCGCGCACAGGACAGAAAGACGGACACAGGGGCCGCCGGCGGCTGACTCCGGCACCTCCCCCCGTGGACGCCGGCCCTCGCCTCCGCCAGCCACAACGTCAGGCTCCTGGCAGGTGAGACGCCGCGGACTTCGCAGGTGGACAGCCCACCACATCGCCAAGGCGGACGCCTGTGGCTCGGCACTGACCCCACCCGCGCTGGGCCTCCCCGCCTGTGTGCCAACCAGATGAGTCCTCTGGGCTTTTCTACAGAGTCCAGCCGCTCATGAGGGCTGGGCACGTGTCAGTGTGCACCGGACGCCACACCAGGAGGAGGAGACGGAAGGCAGGGCAGGGACAGGATCCTCACGGAGAGAAAGGGCGGCCCGTGGAGCTCTTGCTCTGGGTTTGTTGCTGGGCTTTGCGATGAGGCCCTGAGGCCCGAGATGCCTTCACTCAACTCGCACCCCACGCTCAGTGTTGCCCCACCCCCTGGTCAACAAGGCGGGGCCGGTACCGCCACTTCCTGGGGTGAGCTCCCAGCGCTGAGAGGGGTCCCGGTGTGTCCTGGTGCTGCCCAGCGCTTCCTCTGGGGCCGCCTGAGCCCCGGGCCGTGGCCTGGCTCTCGGACCACCATTCCCAGCACCCACTGCTCCCCGGCCGAGAGCGCTCTGTGAGAGTCGAGGCTCCGCGCTCACCCCGCATTCCCTCCGCTGGCACCATGCCTGGCACCAGGGATGTTCTGCCAGATGCGTGGCCAGCCCCGGCGGCTGCTGTCCTCCGGAGCCCCCTGCCCCTCCCAGCCATGCTCCGGGAGAGGCAGGCCTATGCACCCAGTGCTCTCTGCTCCCGGGGCTTCCCAGGAAGACCAGGCGGCAGTGGGAGCCCCAGCACCAGCCTGGGGACCAGTGCGAAAGAGCCTGGTCCGCTCTGGCTGGCACTGCAGGCCCCTGCACCCTGACCATCCACAGGTCACCGGCTTCCAAGTCCATCATCAAAAGGCCCGGGGGCCTGTGGATTCGCCCACCAACAAGCGCCTGCAATAACAAAATCACAGCAGACGCCTTTCTGTGACCGGCAATGTGGGTCCTGATTGCCACCCCGCAAGGGAGGTCCTTCCCCCTTTACAGAGAGGAGACTGGGGTCACAGAGGCCAGTGAGGAAGGCAGGAAGCAATGGGACAACCCGAATTGGAAGCACAGGCTCATTCTTGCCCCCTGAGCTCGGCTCTGCCCGATGTCCAGGCTCTTCGCAGGGAGAGGACGGCCTGCTGTGCCCCGTGCTGGACACTCAGCAAGAGGAAAGTGAGTGTCTGCAGCCAGCTGTGTGGCTGCCAGCAGGACAGGAGGCGGGTCCCCATTCCCATTCTGCAGGGTGGGCCACCCCGGGGACTGAAGCCCCTGGCAGAGGGCAGTGAGTGGGCTGGACACTGCGTGTCCCGCGCCCGCAGTGCGGGGCTGAGCTGGCTCTGGCTGCAGCACGTCCACCTCTCCACACCTGTCTGCCGGCTCAGGCCGCCCGCACGCCGGCTCCTCAGCCTGAGAGCCCGGGCGCACCACCTCCCGCTCCGCTGGCCTCACGGAGGTTCCGGGCGGGGCTGGCACGGGGCCAGGAGGAGTGGGTCCCTGCCCAGCCTGAGGTCCGAGAAGGGAGCCACCCCCTTGCCCAGCTCAGAGCCAGCAGCTGGCCTGCGAGGCTGGCTCAGTCTCCTTTTTACCCACCAGACGGCAGCAGCCAGCAGGATGGCATGCCCGGCAGGTGAGTCAGTGCCCAGTGCCCGCTGACTCACCCACCGGAAGCCTCTGTGGCCCTGGCTCTGTCCCCACAGGCAGCTGGGAACTTTGCTCCCTCAGGCCGCGGGCCAGGCGGAGAGTTTCCTGTGCGTCACACCAGGGCGGAGGAAGTCCCCCGTGCCACCTCCGTCTTCCCAACGCTGGAAGGGGCACTGCGGGGGCAAAGGCCCAGCACACAGGCAGGACAGACACGCAGCGGGAGCAGGCGGGCACGGGCACAGAGGTCAACCACCAAGGCCTGGCGGGGCCTCACGGCGGGGGGCGGGGGGCAGGACTGTGGGCCACCAAGGACACAGTAACTGAGGCAGCGAATCAGGACCACACAGACCGACCTGCTCCTGCGCTGGCCCGGTGCCAGGGCCTCTGGCTTCGGCCTCTCCCCGTTGGGGGCACGCAGGAGGAGGAGGCAGGGCGCCCCAGACAGGCTCAGAGGAGACTGGCTCAGAGGCAGTTCCCGCAGGCCAAGGCGGCCACACCGGCCACACGGGTACCGCTCAGCCCCTTTGAGGAGCCGAGCCGGGGGCACCACGTGGGGCCCTGTGCCGGGTGAGGAGCCCCCGCCCCAGCTGGCCTCGTGCTGCCGTCTGTCCAGTGGGCGGGGCGGGTGCCCAGAAGAGGCACCGCCCAGGCTCAGCCCCGCGGGTGGGCATGGCCTGCGGAGGCACCGCGGGACCCGGGATGACGGGGTGAGCGGAGTCACCCCGCTCAGCTCAGCACCCAGCACAGGAGGAGAGGGGCCTGGGGGCCTCTGGAGAAGGCAGAGCCCACGCTCCACCTGTCACCACTGGACCTCAGCCCGGCCTGAGCCAGTCTCCTGGCCTGTCTCGGGGCCATGAGGGCGAATGAGAGCCTGATGCTGGGGGAGCTCGGGGAAGGGGCCGTGAGGATGTCGGTGAGGGGCATGTAGCGTCCCTCCACATCCTTCCACAGACCCCAAAAGGGCTGGCAAGGCCCTGGCCTGGGGGTCTTCCCTCTCCCCCACCCAGCATCCTCTGTGACCTGAGCTCACACGCTGAACCCTCTGCACACCTCGGGAGGCGCAGGCCGGGCTGAGGCGGCACAGGCAGGGACCCGCTGCCTCCTCACGCTCTCCCCTCGCAGCCTGCACGCAGACGCCCATCCACCACGCGTCCCCTGCGGGCAGACCCGCGGGGCCGCCAGCACACTCCGCTCCCAACCGCTTCCCCTGCCACAAAGCACTGTCCGGAGGCAGGACTGTCCTGAGCCGTCCTGGCCAGGCCAGACCGGCCCGCGCTGGGCAAGTGCCCGGCTCTCCGGTGGCTTCCGGCTTCCCGGATCCCAATCCCACACGGTCTGCAGCGCAAGGCCCTCCCCGCCACCACCCGAGTGCCTCCGGAGTTACTCACGGAGGTTGGGCAATGGTCAGGGCTCTGACTCCGTTTATGTAAGAGGCAATTACCCTGCTCCCGGCCACACAGCCCCTCCCCGGACTCCCGCACCCTCCCCGGCCCGGCCCCTCCGGGGAGGAGGTGAGAGCCCCACGCAGAGGCCCACCAGTGCCAGTGGCTCCGCCTCCCCACCTGCAACTCTGCAGCTCAACCCAAGCAGAGGCAAGGCTGGCCCCACAGGCTGAGCCCTTTCTAGAAAAGGGAAAAAGGTCACAATGATATCAGGACAGCACTGAGTACCACGCCGGGGCCTCCCACCCCCTCTTGCTTAAACGTGTTAGCATTCCCCATGTCACAGGATACTCAGAGTACAGGGAAGGGAGGTGTGGTAGCGCCTGTTTTACAGAGAAGGAAACTGAGGCCCAGTGACACTCCGGCTGCTGGAGGGAGGCAGCCCACTGATACAGCTACGTCCAGTTTGGAAATCTCCCACACAACCCGGCCATGAGACACCCACATGCCAAAAACAGATTTTCCTCTTCCCGCAAAAAAATCCCCTTTCACCCCCCAGCCCCCACACACACATGACAAATCCTGCTGCCGGCAGTCGCCACCTCCCAAAACTTTCCAGGAAGCCGCTCCTGGGGCAGAGAAGAGCAAGCCCACTGCCCAGCCGGACGCAGGGGCTGGCCTGCGGCGGCCAGCTCGGGTCCGGGGACGGGGTGGGGGAGCTCCCGGGCAGGGAAGCTGCGCGCGAGGAGGGGTTGTGGTCCGGGCGGAGGGGGCGGGCGTCTCCCAGGACGCAAGATGCCGGCGGGCAGAGGCCGGCTCCGGCCGGAGGGCGGCGGGCAGCACTGGGGGGCGGGCGGCGCAGGGCGGCGAGGTCCCCAGCAGGAGCCCCGCTGGGCCCGGGGCCGGCCGCTCCGCCTGAAGGAGGACGGGGTGACGTTCGGCGGGAGGGGGCGATCCAGCGGAGCCTGGCCGGGGTGCAGAACCCGGGCCTGAACCGGGGTGAGGGAGGCCGGGCCGTGGGCCGGGCGCCCGGGGCGCCTACCTTTGGCGGGGGGCGCGCCGGCGGGCGGGCTCGGCGCGGGCGACTCCATGGCGCGGCCGGCGGGGCTAGAACCGAGGGCGCGGCGCTCCCCGCGGGCGCATGGCGGCGGGCGGCGGCGGCGGGCGGCGGGCGGGCGGGCGGCGGGCGGCGGGCGGCGGGCGGCGGGCGGCGGCGGCGCGGGCGGACTGAGGGCGCCGGGCCGGTGGGGAGACCGAGCGGGACCCGCCCTCCGCGCCGGCTCTTCCGCCCCAGCCGGCCAATCAGCCGCCGCCGCCGCCGTCACGCCCCGCCCCCACCCCGTCACCCCGTCACCCCGTCACCCCGCCGCCGTCACCCCGCCCCCCCGCCCCGCCCCCCGTGGCCAGGCCAGGCCGCCGCCAGTCCCTCGGTCTTCAGGCCTCGTCCCCCACCGCGCGGGCCACACGCTGCGGGAAAGCCCGGCCTAGGGGGCGTCCGGGAGGGAGGCAGTGCTGGGGCGGGGAGGGTGCTGGGGGGAGGGTGCTGGGGGGAGGGTACTAGGGGGGAAGGGGAGGGTGCTGAGGGGGAAGGGGGACGGTGCTGGGGGGAGGGTGCTGGGGGAGGGTACTAGGGGGGGAAGGGTGGAGTGCTGGCTGGAGGGGGATGGTGGCTGGGGGGGAAGAGGGGGGAGGGTGCGGGAGGGGAGGTGCTGGGGTAACGGGGGTATGAGGGGAGGGTGCTTGGGGGGAAGAGGGGAGGGTGCTGGGGGGGTACTTGGGGAGAAGTGGAGGGTGGCTGGGGGGTACTGGGGGGAAGGGGGAA